TATTTATATTTTAGTTTAAATAAATAGTTTAAATAATATATCTATTTATATCTCTAATCAAATTAATCGTTAGATCAAGAATTTAAATTGAACACTAAAATAATATTTTAGAGAATCCATTAACAAGAATGATCAAAAATTATCTATAAACTAATATACAATATAAGATAATTGTATATTTGCAAGGGTTGTCTAGCCATAGAAAGCTCCGTGTTTTTTTAGCTACCACTGCCACAAAGTATTCCTCGACAATATAGTCTGCATTTGGTTAAAGTAGAGCGTGCAACGCATTTGCATACATTGGACTTAAATATTCATTTGCTGGAAGCTGGCGCACCCCACAATCAGAAAGCTGGGTTCGAGTAAATCCCGATTCAGAGTCCGAGTCAGAGCTGCAGCTGGACAGTCAACAAAGGCGGCCGAGTGGGGAGGGGAAGAAGCGCTGGCGATACATTGTGGGTCAGACTGCTCAATTTTCAGTTCAGTTTAACTTCAAAGGAGACGCAACGACAGCAAATTGAATTTGTGGCATGGCAAATTGATCCGTGCGACTTTGTGGCGTTAATTGAAAAGATCAGCGACTGATGTGAATGCGTCCACACAATGTATGCATGCAGCCAACTAGCTTTAAATTGCAATGGCAAATTAGCGGTATATAATTAAATTCACTGCATTGTTAAGCGAAGATATGGAAACGCGCTTTGTCTTCACTCACAGTCTACTATCAAAGTATAATGGCTCTTAGTTTTTGCAAATAGGATAACAGCACAATTATTGTGAATGGATAATCATAAATTTATTGGAATAACCACACGAATTGATACATTTCTCATATATGCTTAAGCAGCTTGCTCTTCAGCTGCATAATACACAAAGGGGCTGGGCTTGGGGTGCATTGTGGATCCAACTCAATTAGCAGGTGCAATGACAGTTAAATTGAATACTTGGCTTTGCAGGAGATTACAATAGATAGATGTTGCCTACGTCCAATATTAATAATGGTTCAAAGCCTGCTAATACAATTGACTGCATTGTTGAGATATAGAGCGATATAAAGCTGGCATTATTTCACAGCCGCAAGGTGATATACCGATAGCTATTATATTGTATAGCGAATTAAATTCTAAATGCATTTAAGGAGATATATAAGTTCTGGATTAATAAATTTTCAATAAGTTCCTTAGAAATTATCCCATTTTGTGGGTTAAGGCTGAAGCCAATTTTTATCATAAGAGATAAACGTTCATCTATAAAATCGATAGTTTGAAGGGAAATTAGCATTTGGCTATTATAAATGTTGTATATTAATAAATCATTTTAAGTTGCATTGAAAAAAAAAAAAACTTTACAGTTTTGGTTTAGCATAATTTATCCGGCTGGTTAGTTATTGTTATTTGGCAATTGAGTTTTGTAATTGCAGTAAACGGCTTAACTGGGCACGTGAAAATAAATTTGAAATTAGTTAATTAGAAACTACATTTATTTATATTGCTTTCGCTTTGATTGGCCATGCCCATTGAACTTTGGTCAAAGCGAGCGAGCGAGGCGTGTCCCGAGTGCATAAACAAACGCATGGCGAAACAGGAGATCTTTATGAAATGCACGACTGGCACATACTCTGTAAAACTTATTTATCGAATATTAAAAAATAATAATAATAAAATAAAATAATGAAAATTAAAATAATGTTTAAAGATAAGTATATAGGTATAAGTAGATCTATAAAGACAAAGAGACARACGTTAAGTATCAAAGGGTATTCAAAGTACATTTCATTGTATTTGGGTTTGCCACAATATAAAAAAATATAAGCTGTGTATTTTTAATCGTTTATGAATTTGATATTATTAATTTTAATTGCCATTATTGATTTGTAATAATTTAATATGATTTTACTTATATTAAGAATTGGTTTTGCATATTTTCACTCATTCAAGCGCAATTATAATTTTGTATGTTAATTTTTACATATTTGCCAGACATAAATAATTATTAATCATGGACGAGTAGAAGCGAAATGCCACAGCATTGTAGTGCCATTGTTTAGTTACACACAGGCATTTATATTGCTGCCCACAGAAATGCGAATTATTAATGACATCGCAATCAAGTGACCATTGAGTGGCCAAAGTCCTGTTGCAGCATCACTCAAATTAGAAAATGATGTGGCGCAATTACCCAAACCCATGCAGAAGCGCAAATTGAAATACAAAATAATTTGGCTAAAATAATTTTAATTATGCACAGATTTTATGTTGTGCTCTCAAAATGCAATTTGACTCTCGCTGGGTAGATTCCACTCGCTCTCTCTCTCTCTCTCTCACTTGCTCTCTCTCTTTGTGTATATGTAAAGATGTTACTAGGCAGACAGCATTGGCGTTTCAGCTGCTGTAGTTCAACTCGAGAATGATTTAATTAAACCACAGCCAATTTGGCTTCATAGCGTTAGTTAAGCATATGTGCTACCTTTATTTGTGTGAGCCACACAAATTCAATTGCTCGTATCCAATTATTTTGCAAGTGCAACTTGTTTTTTCCTAACCTGAATCCCCTGGGGTGTTATGTTTTGATAAAAATTATGTAACTGGCCATATGTAATGCAGTCGAGTCGATCCAGTCCTGCTCCTGCCTGAACATGCAGCAGCTCCAATTCTGGGCATTAATTAAAAAATGCAACTGTAGCTAATTCAGTTACCAACATATATTTATTTTAAATGATTTTAGCTCGCTTCAACTCCCACTTAAACAAGGAATCGTACAAGTGTTTAAGTTAAGTTGTTTATTTTGTTTTCGACAATAAATATATTTAATATGCTGCGATTCCCTAGAGGAACATGGATGTCCAATCACGTAGAGTGCGCGTCCACCCTAAATTTCGGATCGCTGTGAGCCATGTCTCGTGGCATCGCCTGTCCCAGCGTTGGCATTCACAACTAACCAAGCAACTAACCTTTGACTCCTGGCCCGAGGACTAATAATTAAAGTCAGATGCCATTGTCACGCCCAGCTAAGCGCGTTTGACATTGCAGCCGAGTTGGACACCTTGATGGCAAAACCAACAATCTCTTTTCACATTCCGGCCAAGGCAGACATAGACAAGCACACACACACACATACACATACACAGAGATTTTGCCACTCTGTGGCCGTCTAATTGATGTAACAAGTGTTTGGGCCATGTACTGCTGGAATTTATAAGTGGCAAAATAGTCAGCAGAGACAGCACAGTCAACAGTCCAAGTCCAAGATGCTTGTCGATAGTTGGCCTAGGGTCAGCTACGGCGCTGACGCTGGCCCTGGCGCATCCCCCACATGCCCACACTGGCACGTAACAGATTCGCACTCAATACAAGGCGACACGTAGCAGGCCAAGGGTACGAAGCCAAGCCGAGCCACTCGGAGCCAAGTGCTGATGGCCCAGACAACTGCGACTGCGGGCTGTTGCTTGTAATAAATTTGCTTCAAACATGCAATGCCCGTGGGACAAATGCCGACAACTCCCCCGAAACTCCCAGTCGCACTCTCCTTCAGTTTCCATCTCACTGACTGGCTGTCTGGATGTCTTTGCCTGCCTGTCTGACTGGCTGCCCGTCTGTCCGTCCGCCCGGCTGGCTGGCTGGCTTACTGTCCGTGTGGCCTTTGTTTTATCCAACGCTGATGATGTCGGTTTGCCGTGCAAAGCCACAAATTGCCACTTGGCTGCCCGCTCGTGCCAATCTGTCGTTATGTTGGTTGTTGTTGCTGTTGCTGTTGCTGCTGTTGCCGTTGCTGCTCGCCACATTGTTGCAGTTGTTCTTGCTGTAGTTGTTGTTTGAATAAATCTAAAGAAATAGCATTTAATGTCCATTTGCAGCAGATTAAGATAAAAAGCATCGCATGGCGCCGCCTGACTTTGGTCAACTCGCCCGGGACTGTGATTGGAATTGGTAGCGCAACGGAGTGAAGTGGATTGCAAGTTGCTCTGTAGCTAGAGCAGCCAGCAGCAGCGTCAACTTGACCATTCGTGGCTTATCGATTTTGGGCCAGGCATTGTCTTAATGCTCGAGTAAAGCCTTTGAAATGGCACGCTCGTAACTGCCACAAACAAGTGAGACAATCAACACTTGATAAAACAAACACTTCTAAATTAATTAAATTGCAAATATTCTTGAGGCAGCTGCAGCAGCAACGAGAAAGCTTAAGCTGCACTTCTCCTACTCCCACACACAGACACACGCGCACAACATGCTCGCATATACACACGCACGCACACACACACACACACACATATATATATACCTTGCACATATAGTTGTCACTCAAAGATAATCCAGGCCATCAATAATGCAAACAGATCTTGGTGCTTCACTGCCTCAGCCCTATCCTTGTTTGTTTTTCTCCGCCTGCTGTTGCTGTCTCGTTTCTTTTATTATTTCTGTCTGCTCTCTCTTAAAGCCGTGCTCCGGCCATACTTGTGTATGTGTGTGTGCATGTCCGTGTGTTTGCAGTTTTGCTTTTGTTTTTATTCCAATTTTTTTTATTTTATATTTTTTTTTTTTTGTTCACTGAATTTTCGTTTACTTTGCTGGCGGCCATTGGCTGAACAATTTGGACAAAGATTTTTCAAATTGAGTTGAGTTTGGCTCGAACTTCAAATTGAATGAAAAATACTTGAAAGCAAGCTTTATGGTACGGGAATATGCAAATCTTAAGCAAATATAATCATATGACTATCCACAATTCTGTCACCTAAAACAATGCAGAGGTCACAAGTTGATTTTCGCCCTGTTATGTCGTAAATGACAATAAATTGCATAAAAGCTTTTGCTGAAGGATAGACTGACTGATTGATTGGTAATCAATGCATATACCAAAAGACTGAAGCTCAAATTGATTATTGAAAATTCACAACCAGACAAAAGTCCAACTAAACAAATTTCTATTAAAATGGTATACTCTTGCAGTATATCTTTGTATATATAAGACTTTTTGTGTTTTCTTTATATTATATTAGTTTTATAAGCTCTGGTTTCATTCAACAAAGACCAACGTGTACAAGAAAATAGAATGGAAATGCAAAGTATAATGCAAAGTCTTGTTCATCAGTTAGAGATATCATATTAAAACGAATGTCTAAGATTTGACATTTATTGTGGTCCAAGGAATAAAATTTGAGTTATTAATTGCCATTCGCACATTTAAGATTTCATTAGTTTTATTACAAATTTCT